GTGTTGATAAATAAAGAGCAGTAATTAAAATATGCATATTAAAAGACAAGACTTTAATAACTAAACAATTTTATACCATCTGTTACACCACTCAAAATGCAGTGATGCTGGCCAATTTTCATGGACTACTTATCTGAATCTTCTTCTTTCTTTAGTTTTACTACTGCTGCTAGTGCTAAAACTGCATAACCAAACGGACAGAAGTTAATATCAGTGTACATCACCATAGTTCAAAGTACCAGTCCACATATTCTGCTATCACAAGAATGGATTTTCAAAGCGCAGGGACTAAACACTGTGCTGTTTGTCTAGTGCTGTTTAAGAGAAATAAGCAATACGCCAACGCTAAGGATAAAACTTACAACTCCATTCTGCACACTAAAACCGAGCTGATACTTCGTGTCCGGCCGTTTGATCCTCACTTCAACCACCGGTGGCGTTGACACGACCGTTAACCTGACGGCAGTAGAAGTTTTTGCCGCCTGAAATATTTCAGGAATATTTTGGAATATCGTAATGAAGAAGAAAAATAGTTTCAAAGTTTTAAAATATACTGGGAACAAATTTTTACGAGGGAAGGAAAATAGGCAAACCTTGATATTTTGCTGCGCAGAAGCAAGAGGAAGGCCTACTAACGATATACCATTAATCGCAATTATCTGAAAGCGGACAAGGTAAATGTTATTGGTGTACAAGACTCTAAGAATTAATGAAATCTGCAATGAACTTTTAAACACTGGTCTTCCAAGAAGTCCTATAAAAAATGAAAACGAAAAAAGCATATTACTGGAAGAGAATAAAAATTCATGAACACAAATGTATTTGTAGAAATTTGCAAACTCCTATATGTTTAAGCTCAAGTGTGTCTTCTCCTGAGGTGATGGTCGCAATAAAAGAGAATGAAGAGGTCACTAGCAGGGAAGCTGGGTAGCAATGTAAATGTAATATATTTAACATTTACATCTAGAAAAGCGAAGTGGACGAGGGTTGACCAAAAAGAAAACAATAAGACTGGCAGCTTTCAGCGGACAATGAGACGTCTTTCCCAGCACTAGCACATCACTGATCTGTGAAAACGACACTTTCCAATTCCACTCCATTTTGCACAGAAATGAGAGAGTGAATAGCACGGTTGGTAATGAGAAAAAGTTAGCAGCGCCTTGCCGACCGAGCGAAGATGCACAGTGGATGTCAGAAAAATTACTGCACACCTTGGATGAAATACTACGCTTGAGCCCAGTAGACAGGATTTTATCAAAATACTGAACATCAGAAAGAGCTGCGGCAGCGGTGTGGTAAGAATAACAGATAAGAGATGGATTACGGGTTACTGATTGGTGCTCACGCAGTTTTAAAAAACATACATGGGGAAAGGGTCACTAAAAGAATACGTAGAAAGATGCGATTGATCGCATTTATGGGAATATGGTGGACAAACAAGCAGATCAAAGAATGAAGCTGATGGCTGTGTCAGAGGTTTAAAAAAAGGAAGACGCGATGATGAAACAACAACTGATCGAAGGATGAAGTTTGGGAGAAAAAGAAAAAACGCCGGAAAACCAATGCCACGATAAACAGTTATATTTTCTTGGCGCTAATCAAACACATAAAATATGCTTGGTGATGTCGCTGTTTAAGTTTTATTTCCGTTTTCACGATATTAGTATTACTGTGAATACCACAGTCTCTTTACTCGTAATAATTTTTTAGAAAGTGTAAATACTTTTCAGCCACCTGGTCTCCGATATTTAACTGGTTACATCTCGAAGCAGCACCATTCGGCTGAA